TGTGAGTAATGTATCAAAATTACTCAAAGTGACAAAATCAATTCCAGTGAGTACTAGTATATATTAAACTGCACAATTCACAAACTGCCAGAGGTAATATGCAAATGATTACAACCTGCTAGGGCTAATAACATTGAAATGAAAATCAGTGTGTCTATTAACATGTTTCAAAGTATTTTCAGAGAGAGACTGGGACTTTTGAGACTCCTCTGCTCTGTGGGACGGGTCTGAAGATCACCTGCCTTTTACAGAGGAAACAGGTCTGGCCAGGGGAAGTGGCTTGCCCTAGATCCTGCAGCCAGTGCTAGACAGAGCCCAGCCCTGCCCCTGGCCTGAGCTCCCCCATCTGTGGTGTGTGCATACCATTCTGTCACGATTGGCTCCATCCTGTGGGAGACAGGCATGGCTGATTAAAGAATCAGTGAGCATAAAGGGAAGGGTGGGTTTGGCTTACTCGTGACAGAAGAATAAAAGTCTGTCACACAGACCAGGTAAACTATGGATGTTCTCTGAAAAACTACCCAACAATATGATTTCTAAGCATTCATTCCTCTACACTAACTTTAGTTTTAGACTTTAAGATACAAGCTTCTCATTACTACAAAAATCCTAACCAGTGCTTTCTGTAGGCTGTATTAAGATAAAATTTAATGTTTAGATGGTCCATTGCTTTCTTTAAAAGGTGAAATATAGTAGTAGGAAAAAGGCCTACTTAAAGGTAGATAATTATACATATAGACGTATAGTCTGGAAAAGAGACTGGGTGGCACATGACACTTACTATAAATGAACTGCGAAGCCATGACCATCTTGCAATGGAAAAGTGGGATGCAAGCCTTCAGTGCAGAGTGCAGGGCTGCTACAGGCTGCAGGAGAGCCCGGGTCCGACCGGAAGGGTGGGTGCGGGTGGTCTTCTGCCTTGCGCATATTTGTTGTCCCACACATCCAAGGTCTGATCCAGCACAGCTTTGAAAGAGCGGTCAAGAGAGGGAAGAGAAGCACGAAAAAAGACTAACTGCCAAAGGGAGAAGACTCACCCCAACTGAAATTCAAACCAGACAATAGCAAAGTGATCAGTCATGTATTTTTATTGATAAGCCCACAACTAGCTTGTCTGTTTCAGTGTGGGTTTCTGCCCACCAAGTTTGTCAACATAAAGAGCTCTAACAATGTGATCTAAATTCGAACCCTAAAAGTTGTTGACCAAAATATCATCATTGCACCACGTAAGAAGGAAGCAAAATAAAGCACACAAAAATGCTTCAAATGTTAGGAATTTTCAAGAGCCAGGATCCAGTTTCTTAAAGACTGACTGAGGTATCGAAACAACAGTTCCAACTGTGTACAGGAAAGTGCCATTTAGACCAGCCCTTCTTCAAGTGTGGCCCGAGGTCTCCCGGCATCAGCATCATTGGGCTGCTTGTTAGGAGGCAAAATCTCAAGGCTCAGTGGAATAAGGACCATTGAGAGTGGGGCCTAGCAGTTTGTTTTAACAAGATCTCCATATATGATTCTTTTTGTGCACTAAAGTTTGCAAAGCATTGATTTAAACTATCAAACAGCAAAAAGTCAATCCAGTAGGCAGGGACCAGCATTTCAGGAAAGTGAAATGGAACAGAAGAGGAAGAGCAGCCCGTGAAGCACGGGCATAACCTCGTAAAATCCATTACTGTGCTGTGTGTGTGTACACCTGTGTGCACTGGTTCGGGAGAAGCAGCCCTTTAATTTTTAAAGAACTGGAATGGTATAATACAGAGGCTCCATATTTGAAATGAAGTCAGAACGGTTTGGTTGACTATAAAACATAACTGACAGCTTAATGTGGATTCCTGTTTGGAGAGAGACTGAGGAGAGATGGAAGAGGGCCAGGGAAAGAACTGCGCAGGCCAAAGTTTTTAACTTCAGAATCCTCATGGGGAAAAACCGAAAAGGCCTACCCAGAGTGGGAATGGAAGGGGCATCTACCACTGAGGAGATATTAAGGAGGACAAGGACAAGATAAGGTCAAGTCTGACCTTCAAGAAACAATGATTTAAGTAGAAATATTCCTTCACTCACAGATCATTTTTTATAGTCTCACAGGTGCCAGGCGTGGCAGTAGATGCTGGGGAGTACAGATGTGAGGCCTACCGACCAGACTGTCTAGTGATGAGCAACATCAATAATAATAATATAATCACATGATCAGTGCTCTAAAGGAAAGGTTAACGCAGCACCGAGTGAGAATATTGAGGCCAGTCTGTGACCATAGGTTGGGAGTCGGGTGACAGGGACATCCATGGGAGGAGGGTATTTAATCACAAAATGTCTTAACATGGTATTCTATTTTGACACTCATCAGTGATTACCTAGATCAGTGGTTCTCCAACATTAGCATGCACCAGAACCTCTCAGAGGGCTTGTTCAAGCACGCTTGATTAGGGTGTGGGGTGGGGCTGGAAAATCTGCCTTTCTGACAAGTTCTTTGGCAATGCGGAAACTGATGATCTGGGGACCGTATTTTGAGGATTACTGATCCAAATCTCTGAATTAAGAGTTTTGCTAGATGGTGTTTCTAGAAACACGATGTAAAGCAAATAGAATTTAGCTGGTCCACCACACACACACACACACACACACACACACACACACACACACACACACAAATATCAGGGGTGTGTGTGTGTGTTTTTAAATACATTTTGATGGTATAATAACTCACTACAAATTTTTCATATATCAATTTTTATTACTAAGTTAATATTTTGCTTAGGTATTTGACAGTCAGACAACAGTTCTGGTGTGTGGCAAAGACATGCTTGCTATGTGCTTGCCAAAATTAGTTCCTTTTCTTCCCAGGCGCACTTATAAAACCACATTTCCTGACCCCTTCACAGTTAGGTTAGACCATATGACTGTTTTCTGCTAACATGGATAGTGGGCAGGAGGGATGCAAACCCTTCCAGGCTTGGCCAACTCTTCTTTCAATAACTGCCTTTTTTTTTCCTCAGGTGCATAGGATCTAGTGAAGGACTCTAACAAGTGGAGGGGCCTGCTTAGCCACTGATAACGGCCTGGATCCGATTTACCACTTGGAGAAGAGACACCTAGGATTGCCCCTCAGGTGGGGAACTGTTTAGAGAGAGATGAGAAAGCGTACCAGGGGATCTTGCACTGTGCTTTCATTGTACCACAGCCCTGAGGTTTATGGGTTTGCTTCTTCTGTGTAGCTTAGCGTGCCCTAATATGGCACTGAGTAACGCAAAACACATACTTATGAACTGAATGATCATTACAAATGCAGTTATTAGCCCGTATGTCCAACGCTCAGCCTGTAAATGGTCTTCTTGCCACTCATTTCTGCAACAAATACTTACCTGTAGGTAATATTGTGTGCCAAGCAAAAAAAAAAAATGCTTTGCATGCCCTCGTGAAATTTATAGTCTTGTTAGGAATGGACACAAATGTAAGATATTGTGAATGGCGTGCACATGTGAACCCTGGCACTAGGAGGGTTTTTTTCCTAGTTAGGAATACTTGTAGAGGGCGTTTATGGTATAATTACCATCAGGGTAAAAAATGACTTAAAAATACAACCTACTTTGGATGTGATGAAGCATAATACAAATGTGAATACAACTAGGAGTCAGCAGGTTTTATTTTTAAATCTTTTCATTGGATAGTTTTAACTACCAAATGGGATTTGTTCCATGTTCAAGTTATCTAAACTTTAAAAACATTAATCATCACCCAAGAATATGTTTATTGATTTGATTTTATTTAAAAAATATTTTATTCATTTTTAGAGAAAAGGGAAGGAAGGGAGAAAGAGAGAAAGAGAAGCATCAATGTGTGGTTGCCTCCTGCGTGCCCCCGACGGGGGATTTGGCCTGCAACTCAGGCATGTACCATTAGTGGGAATCCAACCAGCGACCCTTTGGTTCTCGGGCAGGCACTGAGTACACTGAGCCACACCAGCAAGGGCTGTTTATTGATTTTGGAGAGAGAGAGGGAGAGAACGAGGGAGAGAGAAAAACATTGATTGGTTGCCTCCCATATGTGCCCTGATCAGGGATCGAACCCACAACCTTTTGGTGTATGGGATGACGCTCCAACCAACTGAACCACTCAGCCAGAGTGATAGTTATCTAAACTTTTAAAATGCGTGTATAAAGGTCAGCATGAAACTATTTAATTTACTAACCAGCTCCCCAGAGACTTGCAAAAGTCTTTTACTTCTTTTTTTTAAAATCAGTGTTTGTAATTTTCTCTATTAGCAGTAGGTTCTTAGGGTAAAATTTTCCTGCTGGACCAGAGTTTTACACTCATTCAATAAAAGGCAAATCAAGTCAAATAGCTAAATACCTCTTTAATTGGAACTTGTTATGCTGGTAACCATCATGGCCTTTCAAACCACTCTCTGCTTACCAAGTAACTGTTGATTTCAGGAAGCTTATACACAGGATACAAGAATTTTAGACTTGCATTAAGTGCTTTGTCTTTCCATTTTCAGATATATATATATATCTGTGTTTCTATATGTATATATGTATACATATATGTATACACACATATATATCTATATATACCTACATATATTCCACTGGTATATCTGATATCTGTCTATTTATATATATCTACACATACACACATAGCTGAGGCCTCAATCATCTGGATAATTTCTGCAGAGAAATGTTAAAGATTAATGTACAATTTGATACAGATTCATTGCTCTCCTTGCTCATTTTGAATGTGCTGGCCAGACAGTACACTCAGTAGCTTCTACCATCCCACTGACTGGTACAGTAAAGGCCTCCTTATTCATGCATGTGCATTCCAGTCCACTCCCCTTGGCTGCCAGGTTACATCAATGTCTCCCAAATCATTGCCCTTATATCAACAATGGCTGGACTTTTTCCGGACAGACCCCCCTCCCATATTCTTCATTTCTGTTTAAAAACTTGATTGTCATACTTCGTAGAGTGACAGAAATCATTACATAAATGACATTAGGCATAAAATAAAGACAAAGTATTTATTTCTGTAGTTTGTACAAAAAACACCAGCTGCTATTATTTTTTTATATACAGCACTTAGGCATTTTCAAAATGCGAGGGTCTGGAGCAGGCTGGCCACCGGACATACAGACCAGAGCATGGTCTGCTACCAAAATACTAAGTCACAGGAATAGGCTGATACTTTAAAGTCCATCTTAGAGAAATTATCAGATTTTAAACCTGCACACACCCTAGAAATTTAATACAAACGTCCCAGGAAGGAAACTAAAGTCAAAAAAGGTAAAATAATTTTGCCCACTCCAGTTATTTAGTTTGGGTCCCAGACTATAACCAGATAGGTCTCCTACATCGGGTCCGCTTTCTCTGCACCACAGTTTTTACCCGGCAACTGAAGGTCAGGCTGGATTGTCCTTAGCGTTTCCAACTCTACTCTTCCTCCAGGGTTGGAGTGACGGATGCAGAAGGGCTAATTCAGCTCAAGTTGGCTTCTATTGCATTCCTGGTTCTTTTGTTTTCACTGTTCTTTTATTATCAGCATTGCTGAACTTCTGTTTCATATAAAAGACACACTCATTTAATAACACCAGCAAGGAATTTAACTCACACCCAAACTGATAGGTTCGGGATACAGGACACAGCCTTTTCCAGCCAGGAAAATATGAAGGGGACACCCTGCATCCCACGGCCACGTGCGGGAGGACGGGCCGCTTTTTGGTTGGTGCCTGGTGGGGCTACGTCCCTCCAATCAGCGTGGGCCTGGCGAGGGAGGAGAGAGAGCACTCTGGCGGGGGGCGGGACCAGCCATTTGTCCATCACCCAGTCCGTGGGAGGTTGCACCTACCAAACCGCGACGCCTAGAAGAGACTGGACCGGGGCGGGACGGCAACGGGTGTGGAAGGCGGGGCTATGCGGGCGGGAGCCAATCCGCTAGGCGGCACGAGGGGACAAGGGCGGGGTCACCGCGCGCGACCCAAACACTAGGGCCCCGGTTCACCCTGGAGCACTGCTGCCCCTCGGCCTTCCGGTGCCAGGGCCCCGCAATCTCCTCTCCGACTGGACCACCCCCACTTTCGTGGTCCAGTCTCCCCCCGCCCCCCCTTCGCAGGGGCAGAGCGCCGGCGGTTGCCGGGAAGCGCGCGCACCTCTTCCCTCCCTTTCTCCGTTCTCGCCTCACGTGCCACTCGTTTTTTCCTTTTTCTCCGTTAATAACAGCTGGGTGGCTGGGGGAGGAGGGAAGGTGGCCCCAGCGGAGACTGGGCGGGCGCCTCCCACTCACCCGCAAGCCGCCGTGGGAGCAGGAGGATGGCGGCGGTAGCAGCGGCCGCCCGGGAGGAGGCGGTGCCGAGGCCTGGGGCGCAGAGCGCGGCCGCGGTGGCAGAGAGCGGCAGCAGCCCGTCGCGGCGCAGCAGAACCGAAACCGGCGGCAGCCGCACGGCCACCTGAGCCGTCCCTCCCTCCGGAGCCAGTGAGCGGCGCCCGCCGGAGCCCGGACCTCCTTCCTGTTCGCCTCTCGGCGTCTCCCGCGCCCCTCGACCCCAGGAGAAGAGCGCGCCGGGTGTCGACCGCCCCTCGGGGCGCCGGGCGGCGGCCCTGGACGTACGGGTTCCCCGCTGGGCCGGCCGCGGCGCCTGGGCCCTGCCCTCTAGCTCCCGCGCTCTCTCCCGCCCTCCGGGCGCTGCGCGTGGGCCCGGCCCGGGGCAGGTCGGACATGGGCGCCAAGCAGAGCGGCCCGGCCGCTGCTAACGGCCGCACCCGCGCGTACTCCGGCTCGGATTTACCTTCCAGCAGCAGCGGAGGGGCCAACGGGACCGCGGGCGGCGGCGGGGCTCGGGCCGCGGCCGCCGGAAGGTTTCCTGCTCAGGTGCCCGGGGCGCACCAGCCTAGTTCCTCGGGCGGAGCCGCGGCGGCCTCGGCCGCCCCTCGCAGTCGCTCCCTCGGCGGCGCCGTGGGGACCGTGGCGTCGGGGGCCCGGGCCGCGCAGTCCTCTTTCAGCATCCCCAACAGCAGCAGCGGCCAGTACGGCTCGCAGGACTCGGTGCACAGCAGCCCGGAGGACGGCAGTGGTGGTGGCGGCGGCGGCGGCAGGGACCGGCCGTCCGGAGGGGGCCCGGGCGGGCCTCGCCTGGTGATCGGCTCTTTACCAGCTCACCTCTCGCCGCACTTGTTTGGAGGTACGGCCCCCTCCCTCCCTGGCTGCCTGGCTCCCACGGGCGGCACGTGGGCCGCGGCTGCATTTATTTTTATCCTTCTCCTTTTCTCCTTCAGCTTAAGCACCGTGGCTTGGCCGCGCCGCCCGGCTCAGTCACCCCTCCCGGGAGGAAAATCGCCATTTAACCCCCGGGACGCCGCTGGGGCCAGACCGTAGTGTTTGTTTTTTTTAAAACGTGTGCACCCTTACCTCTGAGCGTCTCCCCAGGACAGAAAGCCCTTGTTTTCCCCGCGAGATGAGAAGAGCAAATATTATTTTAAAACAAACTGACGCAGCAGCCCTGGTGCTTTGTGGCTTTTAGTATCAGGAAGTCAGGAGACCCGTTGCTAAATGTAGTTCTATCTTGGGACTCGAGTGAGTGGTGTGAGCAGTTTCTAAAGGCCAAAAGTCAGAGGGTCTCAAACAATGAGAATCTGTAAACGGAGGGAGTGATCTCCTTTGGACTGATTGTTAATATATAACTAATTGTTAAGTCTGTGCAAATAGTCCCATCTACTACGCACATTTAATCGGATGAATGCGTTAATGGAAAGTGTATGTTTAACCCTAGTAAACTGCTACCTTAGATAAAGGTTAATATGAGTCCTGCTTAATTTGGACAGGGTTTAAAAAATTGAAAACAGTTTAAGGAGATGAACTAATAATGATCACAACTTCTACAAGGTGCAGTTGAAAGCCTAGGTGCATTTGGAAAGCAGTGTCGACTTGAGTTCAGGAAAAGTCACTTGTGAGGAATGGAAATTTGGGGTAGCAAAATGATGTGTTTTTATGTAGAAACGGGAGGAAGGGTGCACGTGATTTGAGGAAAATGAATTTGACCTCTTTAGTTATGTTTTATAGTGATCTCTACCCTCAAAACAGTTACAGTAGATGACCCAAGAATCTCTACCCTCACTTCCAAGTTCATGGGGGGGGGGATAGAAGTTAAATGTGGTTAGAGATACTGACTGAAGATAAACATTTGCATATCATTGCATATGTATCTTGATATAGTTCACAACTGAGCGCAGGTAAAACAGCACACAGCACCGCCTCCATTTCTGTGCCCCCTTTACTCAGAGTATATGAACGTGAGAAATTTGAGAGGAAGTTGGTAAAGTGGGATGTTCAGGAGTGTCATTTGTCTGTGTTGGTGTTCTGTACCCTCCACCTTCATGTTAGCATAAATTAAAAATGGGAATGTCTAGTTTTTTCCATCTTAATATTGCTTGCACATTCATTATAGAACAGTTCTTTAGCTACCTTATATTAATTACTTTTTATAAAGCTGTTTTGCTATGTAAAATTATTAACGTTTCTTAAAATTGGGCCATTAAATATATCCTTGGCTTTTGAGAAAAAGAAGTAGTGTTTACCTTCCCGTGAACTGATTACAATGAACAGTTACAGGTGCTACAGTTTCTGCGTTGAGGAATAACAAAAGACAGTTTCTTGAGAATGGGAGATCAGTGTAATAATAAAAGATAAGCTGGTTTTTAAAAAATACTTTTTGAAATGAAAATTTACATTTAGCAGTTATGGTTTTAAAAAGAGTGTGTGTTTAAAAGCTTGCCAGAGAAAGGGAAAAAGATGAAGGCTTGTCAAAGTAATAGTTCTTACACCTTTAGTGTATCAATTACTGTCTTTATTTTTTTTTGTAGAGTTGATGTTCTTTAACAATATCTACATGAGTTTGTTGTCTTAAATACAATTCCATTTGGAACAGAGGACAAATATAGTTGATGTTCATTCTATTAATTCGTAGTAAATAGCAAATGAAAAGGCCCTAATTGCTGAAAGTTTAGAGAGGAAAAGCATTCATCTCTTCTTTTACCTAAGTTCCTATATTTGCACACTTGGTTCTTTAGTCCTTTTGGGGATGGGGTGCTGGGGCCGAGCAGCAGGACAGTGACAGTGAGGAACTTGGCCCAGTGTTTCTTACCCAGAGCTCTGCAGAGAACTGAGCCCTGATGGCCTAAAGCATCTGTTGTATGCAACTCACTTTTTCTCCTCTGCCTTCTAAAGTTTAGAAGGAGTCTTGGAAATTTTTAATGATGTGTGCTCAGTGGTTCAGATGAGGGACCCCAGGTGAGAAAGGCTGGAAGAGGATCAGAGAAATTACCTGTTCTGTTACACAGTGGGAGTAGATCAAAGTGCTTGTACCTTAAATCCTGGTTGAGACAGGAAGATAGAGTACACGTGTAAAAACACATCTTTCTAGTCGCATGCACTTTAATGAGATTTTTACTTCTATTTCAGTGGATGGTTTCTTAAGGAAACGTAATAGAAGTATGCTTCTCACCACTTGAGATTTAGGGACCCAGATGATGATTCTTATTTGTTTTAGGAGATAGACTTAACTATGTATTTCATTGATTTAATTTTAGTATGTATTATAGTATTAATATGTTTATTCAGTTATAAATTGTACAAATGTAACTCCATCTGAATAAAGAGAAAAGGAACACTTCTGAATTAGTGGAAATTTATTATTGTAATTTTGTAAAAATTAATTTAAAGATAAGTTTGTATTAATAATATCTCCTGATAAGAAAATATGGTACCAGTAAGATTCAAACTTATTCTCTTATACGCTGTCATGTAATTTATAGAAAAGGAAAACCTAACCCAGTACCACTTTCTTTTTTTTTTTTTTTTAAGAAGGAGTCTAGCAAGGTGAATTGTTGCGAATTCCTTCAGAATGAATGGCATTTCTGTGTTGGTGTGTGTTCCTCCTTCTTGGACACAGGTTTTGGCTGTGTGCGCTCTTATTTCTCTCCAGAGAGAACCAGCAGAGAGGCATGTACTCCAGGTGTTTCAGTTTGCAGAAATTTCCCAGAACTGAATTGCTGGGTAACAGAATGTAATTATAATAATACAGGAGTTCTTAGATGTGGTAGGATTTTCTTGTTTTTGTTATTTTCAGGCAGCTGAATTTAATACTAGTAAAGTGAACAAAAGCCTTGTCTATCACTTTTGTTTTAAAGCAGGTCTGAAGGGTAGAGTCTAATGTTTAAAAGTGCAGTGGTATCTCAGAGGATTTTCTTGGATTTATGTCTGCATTTTTCCCACTGTCAAGTTGTTAATGTTCATACAGGTAATTAATATGGGTGGTCATGACCCAGTCTTTAATGGTCCAGTAAGGATGGGGGAGGTAAATTAGACTAGAAAAATACACCCGTGGATGGAGTGTATGTCTGGAGAAGTTATGTGGGCCGAGGAAATATCCATGGGTCTGGGAGTGAAAATGTGAAGTGAGTTTATCTAGACAGTTAACTGGTGGTACTGGATTGCTGTTGGCCTCCTCCCGATTGGCCAGTTTGTTTGGGCGTGGTGTGCCCCTGAGTATTCCAGCAGGCTGATTGTAATTCATGCAGGTGCCTCTTGGTCCTTAAGAAACATGCTTCCTTATATCAAAGGAGTGTGGGTTATCTCTTATAATTGAGAATGTTAAATAGAATCTGTATTTCTAGGCAGGTTTATTTTTCCTAATCTTCAAGGCAGATGTAGGTTTATTGTGATTGATCTACTTCCTATTCCTGAATGTTCTTTTACTCAGTTGAGAACTTTTATGGGGTGTGGCAGAAGAAAATGACACTTCTAACCACAACTCCTGTTACCCCCTCCCCCCGAAAAAAAAACCCCAACAAGAACTCAGGTGTTGTTTCTCACTTACAAGTCCATAGACCTTCAAACACTGTAGGAGACCCCTTGCGTCGTATGCTCATTAGACTTAAGTGTGGGCTCTGTCCTGGAAATTTCTGCTTTGGGAATATTTTGAAAGTTCTCTTGACTGCAAGGTAGACAGTGGGCTGGAGTGGTGTGTGTTGCACTGGACTTCATCTGCTGTGCGAGTCGCCTGACCTCAGTACATTCGATGCTGTGCTGGCTGCTAAGCCAGTAAGAGCTCTGCTGTTTTACCAACAGGTAGTGTCTCCAGCAAGGCCTCTAGCCCCCTCCAATTTGATTGTTTTGCCTGGTAACCAGTAAGTAGGCTTTTATTTATTTTCTGGTTGCCAATACCATTAATTAGTTACCAGCTTTTTCATGTTTATTTATTTATCTAGTGTATATAAGGAGAATTGCCTTAATGTTATACTTATTCCATATACAGGGTATATGTACAGCTGAGTATATTAGCAAATGAGTTAAAAGAAGTATAAGAACTGCTCTACGTAGCAAAGTATTTCCTAAATGTTTTAATCTTGCATGTACTTGACTGGTATTAACTACTGAATTAATTTGGTTTTATACTAATTTAACTGTTTAGAAATTGGGGAAAACATGCCCTTTGTGTGAACTAAAGGTTCAGAAATAACTTTAGGTTCTGATTTATGTTGGTTTGTGTGCTGCTTATTAACAAATTACTGCAAATTTACCTTCCTAAAATAGCATGTATTTATTATCTGATAGTTGCTATGGGTCAGGAATCCAGGAGTAGCTTAACTTGAGTAACTGGGTTGTTACCTGGAGATTCAGTGGGGTTGGGGGTCCACTTTCAAGCTCCCTTCCTCCTGCAGCTTGTTGGTGAAATTCATTTCCTCATGGTTAAGCTCAGGACAGGTTGCTTCTTCAGTGCCAGCGGAGGAGGGAGCACCAGCATGGGCTGGTGTTGCAGTCTTCTGTAAATACGTGCCTGTGATCATGTACAGCCCTGTGGTTAGCGGCAGGTAACGGGTCCTATTCACACTCAAGACAGAAAGGTGTCAATGTCCGGAGGCAGCATCAGCGTGGGTAACTTCGGTGTGTCTGCCGCTTGGGTTATAGGCTTAGGTTGACGAGTTAAAAGTGCAACTGTTGTAACCTTAAACTCAGTTTTTATTTACTTTGAAAAAGTAATAATGTATGTAATAAGTGTTGATTCAGTAAACAGCTCCTTCTGGGGCTAAGTATGTGTTGTTAGGAGTACAGACTTGGGGCTTCTTCCTGTTCTTGCTCAGCTCTCTGTTTAGACTGGTATACACTGTAACAGGTGCTATAATAGAGCTGTTAACAATGCTTTGTAGGGTATCTCTGTCTAGGGCAGTCCAAGAATACTTCACGGAGGATGGTAACATTTAAATTGTTTTTAAGCAGTTAGAAGTTTTATGGAGGGAGGACACTAAAGACTCAGAGCAGCACCCACAAACACCTCAGCTGTTGATAGGGCGTACTAACAAAAGTTAA